TGATTATTTATCGAAAATAATTGAATTACTGCGTAGAAATTTCTAAAGATTTTGTAAATAATAGAATTCCTGTGAAATTTTTATTATTTAATTCTGAATCAAATATACGTTTTTTATTTGGTTTTGGGAACATATGTTTCTAAAGACATTTCAAAAAATTAAACAAGAAAAAATAAACATTAAAAATTAATTTATTAAATAATTGTGGAAGAATTTACTAAATATTTAACATTAAAAATAGTTATAAACAATTATATTTACAGTAAACTAAGAAACAATTTTTAATTTTCGAAAAAATAATAAATTTAAAAAAAATTTGAGAGTAGAGAAAAGAAAACCGGTTTTTCAGAAGGAACAAGTCCTAGATGATAATATTATTCGAAAACACTTTTTTTTTTATTTTTTTATACAATATTTCTAATAATATTTCTAAGCAGATTAAAACTTAGTAGACTTATTTTTCGAAAAAAATGTCTAAGTGTAAAAACTCTGAGAAAATATTAGAAAAAGAATTTTAAGTTTCAAAAAACTAAAATTTTTCCAAATTTGCATAAAGTAGAAACTATTTTCTTCCACTAAAATATTTTCTAACGTACAAAAAAATGACCATTTTTATAAAATTTTGTTTTAAAAAGAAAATCTCTTTTGCTTTTAAAAAAGAGAAAGAGGAGAATATATGCATGATTTTATGTGTATTAAAGGATTTTATTAATTTAAGAGGATAAAAAAATGAGAAAAAAAGAAGAAAAGGATACAAGGTACAAAAGAGAAATGAAAATTACTTATACAAAAAAGAAATTCATATATTCAAAATTAAATTAAATTCTCTCAATATTTCTTTAATTACTTAAAAAAAATTCTGCTACAAATTCAATTAATTTTTTTAAATCTCGATTAATAATATCTCAATGAATTCGATTTACCTTAAGAAGAAATTATTATTCTGATAGGTTTTAATTTTTCTTTTTTTATTCGCACTTTTTCATTGTGAATAAAAGACGCTACACAGAGAATGCTGAAGGCAAAAGGAGGAACAATTCACATGATAAGACGTACCATTTAATGCTGAACGTTAAAATCCGGAAGTGTCGACAGACACACTACTGAGAATGAGATGAAATGAAAGATGAAAGTGCGTTAGTAGAGACGATATTCGTGCGCAAAATGAAATGTGTGTTGAAAAAAAAAAAGGTTTTTATAAAACCTCTCATTGTTGCATTAAAAAATATATGTCGTTTCAAAAGTTGTGTTACTATGAAATTTCACACAATTTTTTCCAATAAACAAATAAACTAAAAAAATAAAAAAAAAGCGGTGATAAAAATTCTTGAAGATCTCATTAAAAAGAATTGTTTATAATAATATTAAACTATTTTAACAAACTGTTTTTATTATACTAAATTGTTTTGATATTAAACATGCTCTCTAAAAAGCCACTTTTGACTATATAATTTAATAGTAATTCAATTAGTAACAGTGCTGATTAATTTTTTAGTCAACTAATTCATTAGTTAATTTAATTTTTAAATTATGTTAAATGACTAAAAAATTAGTAGATTTGTGTCTATCAAATATTTTAGTGTTGTTTTCTACTAGTTATAGTTACTTTTTACTAATTGGAATAGGGGCTCAACTCGTTTACGGTTTTACTGTTAATTAGTAGTTTTCTACTAATTCAAATTTCAAAAGTGGTAAAATAAAATAATTGAATATATAGTAAAAGATGTAAAGCAACAGAATCCAAAGAGAGGAAGAAAATTCACCATAGCAACAGTTTCCTGTTAACAGTTGTTTACAAATTTATTGATTAACAATGGTTGCTAAGTAACTTTCTTTTAGCAATCATTGTTAAAACTGATAGCAACTAAACTCATTTTCACGTTTGTTAAAAAATTGATATTTATAAGTAGGTATACATTTTTTATCAAACGAATTTGGATTCGAAGAAACAATTTTAATGCAAAACAACAAATTGTTAACAATTATTATTCCAAATTTATGAACTATCTACCTGAAAATAAATTAAGAAGTAATATATTTTTAAAAATTGTTGGAAATTTATTGTCTAGCAACGGCTTGCTAAACAATTGTTTTCAGCAACTGTTGCTTTAAAATAGGACGGATATTCTTTTAATTTCACTTTTATAATTCCGTTTTTATAAAAAAACATGTTTACGTCACATTCGAAGTAAATAAATAATACTAACAACAATTCTAACTTCAGTGAGATCTAACTAGAAAAACTAGTGATCTCTAACTTAATTCTAACTTCTTACTGCGATTTTTTAATAAAATAAGCAATTTTAAAAATAATAGAATTTAAAACTTTTCTAATTTAAATTTTTGTTGAAAACACTAAAAATAATTCAATTTTGGAGAAATTACAAATAATTTCAGAAATTCAATTATTTTCAAAAAAAAAAAAATAAAATTCTTCTTATAAAATTCAACTATGTTCAAAATTTGAAAAAAATTCTCATAAAAATCCCAATTATCTTTATAAATAACAAAATTCTTCTCTAAAATTCAATTATTTTCAAATGTCAAAAAAAATTTTGTCCTTATCTCAATTATTTTCATAAAAAATAATTTAAAATTCTAGAAAATAATAATTGAATTAAAATAATGAAAATAATTTTGATGGAGTTACAGTATCAATATTCTGATAATATAAAATAATGATTTTATTACTTGGTCATCTTTAATTATTTGAAAACATGAAGAAATCGATCACTCCGAGTCTTCGACTCGGAGCAATCAATATCTTCATGTTTTATAACAATACCTTTATAAGTTGTTTAATTTAAAAAAGGTTTGAATTTGAAATTTTTGAATGTCTTAATTCCTGTGGAAAATCCTGTTCCAAAAATAAGATTAAAAATAGGAATTGTGCAAATATTTTTCTTCTTTTTCTAAAACAAAATAATAATTTTGTTAAAAAAATTGTGATTCATAAACAAAAATAATGCGGAATAAATAAATGTTCTATTTCTTAATCCCAGGAAGTTTAACAATTTTCTAATTTTGTTTAGAAGTAAAGAACAAAAATCTGCATAATTTCAATTTGACAAAACTTTATAAATAATTAAATAATTATAACATAATAATATATTATACAATCTATCTAAAGATAACAAAAAACAAAAGTATAAACAAAAGACAACGTCAGAGAGTGTGAGAGACAGAAATTTACTTAAAATGTACTTAAAAGCAATTGGTCACAATTTAAAACACATTTACTCTTTTTTGATCTTTTATTTAATTTACATTGGAACTTATTTTTTGGAACTTTTGTACTTTTGGAATAAACAATCCTTGGAACTAATTTCTTAGAACTTTTTTGGAACTTTTGTACCCCAATCTATAAAGTGACTACCAAAGCATCTATGTCTCTATGAAATGACTACCAAAAACTTTTTAAAGATATTTCTTTATGCAGTGCAGTCAAATATTTGTTTCTATATTATCAATTAATAATCATCTAACAACAATTGCTATAAGTATAACAATTTTTTAGCAATCTTATTTAATATTTGTTACTTAATACTAACAAGAAAAATATACGTTGTATAGCAATGATTGCTTTGAGCTACAATTTCTTAGCAACTACTGTTAAGAAAACTACTGTTAAATATTTATTGCGTTACAATAATTTTTGCTACTTTACTTTACAATTATTTTGCTAAACAATTCTTTTGCTAAGCAAATATTTCGCTAAACAATTCTTTCTTAACAACTGTTATTAGAATCTGTTGTCAAGAAAATAGTTCACAGAAACAACAAAGTCTGCGCAACCTTTTAATCATAAAACCAAAATGATCGAAAATTAAAATCATACTCTGAAGAAGTTAAAATTCAGTCAAAAATGGTTCTAATGTAAACGATTTTAGTCAAAAGTGGGCTGAAAGTAAGATTAACTAAACTGTCTGAAACTTCTGCAGATTTCTGATAACTTTTACTATTTTCGGAATAAATGTTACTAATTTTTACAAAAGTGTAGTTCGAACGCAGCAAAAGTTACTCCAAAAATAGTCAAAGTTGCGGTCAATAGTAAAAAAAAAATGATCAGAAGTTCCTGACAATTTAGGTTTTCTGTCATAAAATTTGCATAACTTCTCTCAAGTGTACAATGGAGTTAAAAATCTAATCTATCATGAAAATAGTAAAAATTACTTTTTATCGTTTTCTCCGCTTGTCAACTTTTACTATTTTCGAAGTAAATTTTGCTCCGTTCAAAGTACCTATACTTTCCCCCTATTTTTACAAAAATGTACTTCGAACTTAGCAAAATTTACCTCAAATAATGGTAATAAGTTTATTTCTTTTTCCACGCACAGCAACGCTTTCCAAATTTTTAAAGAACATTCTTCAAAGAAATGTAACTATATACTCCAAGAACAAATTTACTCCCTTTTTAAATAGAAACCAAAAGGAAATTTTTCCAGCACCGAAATCGTAAAAAAACGACTTAAAATACGTGCCCATGTCAATTGAAAAACAATTCGAGACGGCTTCCGAAAGAAAATGAAAACAAAATCAAAAAATTTCATGGAACCCTCGAGAAAATCAGAAAAACGTGTTCAACATCATTCCAAACAACTTATGCTCCTAAAAAATTGCAAATGTCTCGGATTTTTTCACAAAGGGAAAAGAAATCCTAATTTTTTTTTTTTTTTGGTGAAAGTGACATTCTAACCCAGTAAAAGAAAATTTGAAGAATTCAGCGGAAAAAAAATAAAAGATCTACTCATTTTGGCCTATATATATAGGTTTTTAATTTTGAGCGTAAAATGAGAAAAAGAAAGAAAGAAAGAAAGAAAGAAAGAAAGAAAGAGGGTGGGCAACAAAATCTGGAGTCCGTATCTCGTTTGCCGGTTTGAAAAATTGTTTAGTGGGGGGGAAGAAAAAGGACGCTGCTGCTGTGTAAAATTGCCAGGTCTCGAAGCAGGCAAGCGAGCAGGCAGGCCGCAGGAGTGTGGCAATGTCAGGCTCCTTGGGCCCTTGGAGAGTTGTTCTTTGTGGTTATGGTGGGGACGGGTGGGGTGGGGGTTTAGGGGGCAAAAGCACATTCCAAGGCAGCATGCCTGGCAGTGAAGGTGGTGGTGGTGGGTACAGCTGCTCTCAGGATATCTCTAGAAATCCTCCTTAATCACAGGTACCTTTCCTTCCTTTTTTTCTTCACCTCCGCACAATCAATTTCTAGGCCCATTCCCTCTTTTCTCAATTTTTCCACAACTGGGCAACTGGCCCAATTTTAGTGAGACCTCCTTCTCGCCCGGTAACGTAGAGTCGCCACTCAGTGTTGTCTTGTTCAGTGCGCTTGGGTTTCTCGATCACAAAATATACCTTTTAGTGAAACATCTGTGCTGGATGCGCTTCTCGGTTAACTTTGCCTGTCTCGCATTTTTTTCCCCTTGGAAAATCATTTTTTCAATTTTCAAAATTAGAATTTCATAAAATTGTTTTGTGAAAAAATAAATAGTGCATTTTAAATATTTGTTTCGTTTATTACCCAATTTTTGTGTGTGTTGAGTGTATTTGTGAGTTAGTTTTTATTTGTGAGAAATTTAATTGTGGATTTGAGTTTTTTATTTTAATGTGTGCAGTGATCGTTAAGCATGTGGAAGCAAGATCTGTGGGAGCGAACGATCGAAAGTAACGACTGATCGAATCGAATGTGGATTCGGTTGTATACCTGGCAATTTTACGAATAAGGTAAAAACGATATAAAAACCATCTTTTTCTATATACCGGTTTTTTTTACATTTTTGAATATACATACATTATTTTTTTCAACATTTTTTGGCACTTTGGACATATGAATAAAAGAGAAAGAGACATTCATCAATTAATATAGGTACTCAATTCCCTTGAGGCTAAAGTACAACAAAAACAATTTTTATTCATTTTTTGCCCCTATCGTTTCAATATGTTTTAATTAAGATTTATGAAAAACAATTTTAGTTCAATTAATGTTTGTAAAGGAAAAAATATTTTTTGAACCCCTCTACTACCGCTTTTTTAAATTCTCAAAACATTTTTTTTATAATTAAATTATATATTTTTTGTTTCAATTATTTTCATAATTATAATAAAATTCTTTAGAAAAATTTAATTATTTTCAATACAATTTAAATAAAACTTCTGTAAAGAATTTTTTAATAATTTCAGATTCAAAATATTTTATAAAAATTCGGGTATTCAGTTAACTAATTAGCTGGTTAATTAGTATTATTTTTAAAAATTTTAATAAAATTCTTTTTTAAACCACCTCCTGCTTTTTTAAATTCTCACAACTTTTTTTTATAATTAAAGTATATTTTTTATTTCTATTTATTCGTTTAATTTCATTTTTACCGGCAATTATATAAAAAAAATGATGAATGAAAAGTAAAAAATAGAAATAATGAAAATATAAACAAATTATTAAATAAAAATATAAGTTAGTTATAAAAAATTTATTTCCTAAAAATATATATCAAATAAAAATTTTAAAAAAAGGATGTTTCAAAAATTATGAACGTTCAATTGAATGACAATATTAATTTTATTACACCCTTTAATTTATTTTATATTAAGAAACATTTTGTGTATTAAAAAAACTAATTCTTTTTACTAAATTAAATTAATTTACATTATTTTCCATTTCAGTATTGTAACTGAAAAGCTATAATTGGAATAAGAAAAAATGTTTACCAATTTGAATTTAAATTAATTACTGAATTTTTGCTTTTGAATTAATAAATTGTACTAATAAATTAGTTGCAATTACTAGTTGTTAATAAAATTTATTAATTCAAAAGCTGAAAACTGTAGGAGCCAGGGAGGCACAGCCCCCCCCCCGGAATTTCTCCGGCTCCCCCTGAAGAAATGACATAAACATTAATAAAAATTAATACATTTTTCGAAAATTTAACAAAAAACTTAATTCTTAAATAAAAAATTTAATTTAATTTGAAAAAAATTAATTTTTAGAAATTTGAAAAGAATAAGAGGGGGGGGAGGTTAGAAATATATTTTTCTTATGCACACAATAAAAACGAATATTAACATATTATCATAATAATAATCTTTAATTTTAATAATTTTTTTTTAAAATAATAATAATATAATTCAAAATATTTAATTCAAATTATAATAATTTTGTACGTTTTTTAATGTTGACATGAAGGACATTATTTTGTTTAAATATTTTCATAAAATACTCTTACAAAGTGAACATTTTAAATAAATTGAATATTTACTTGGTTAGGAATAAATGTTTTAATTTTCAAAAAAACATTTTGTAATAAAATACAAAAAGTATTCAGAACAATAATTCAGTAATTTTTCCATTTTTCTATAATCTGAAATATTCATAAACAAAAAAGATAAAAAAAAATACTTCTCTAATCTAGAAAAATTAAAAAAAATTTTTTTATATAAACAAATTTTTTGTTAATTATCTATTTGTGTTTCCTATGTAGAAAAAAATTTCATTACTCGCTATCATGTCTCTTTGATAACATACTTTACGTGTATATTTTCACCGCATTAAAATGAATGCATATACAACAAACTACATTACTCGTTTATTATCGACCATTACGTCCATTGTTTCGTGCAAAAAAGAAAATGCAAAAAGTGATTTATTTCAGGCGTAACTTGTACTGAAGTTTGTCCAATTACAGTCATCAATTTCAACTCCCTAAAGATAGCTTTTACATCCAAAAGATTCAACTCTTAAAAGTGATAAGATTAAACCACCCACGGCGATTAAAAGGAAATAATATATAATACTTTCAACGGAATATATCGTAAAATTAAATTAAATCTGCATTCAATATTTCATTGTATAAATTCGAAAATAAAAATCAAATTATTTTTTAAATCTCAATTTTGATCGAAAAAAAATTTCATTATTATTCAAATACTCTCTAAAGATTAAAAATATTCTCCTTCAAACTCAAATAGTCATCATTTTTTTTCTTCTTCACATTAACGAAGAAAGATTCTTCATTTGAATTTTATTATAATTATTATGATTTTTTAATTATATTTGAATTTACAAAAAATTTTTTATTATAATTAAATATATATTACATATAAATATATAAGAAATTAAAAGTAATATATATATATATAAATTATACTATATAGATCATTAATAATTTTTATATGTGTGAACTAAAATAATATGTAAATATAAATAACTGAAAGTACCTAATTAAAAATTATAATTTTACCATGTGAAAGAAAAGAATTTATAAATTTTCTAAAATATAAATTTTTTTCTTTCTATTGCAGTTGGTAATTTTTAATTAATATTTAGATCTCGACAAAAGATTTCGTGAATTTGCACGTTCAGGAATTTGTTGATCATCATTATTAAATACAGCCACAGCATAATAGTATAAATGAGGGGCTCAAAGTAAAAGTGGTATAAAATAACAGTGCAAGCAAAAGTGAGTCAAGTTTTCGTAAGCGCGGAAGAAAGAAACAAATGTTACGCTACGAGGAAAAACGAATTACTTTTGGCTGCGAGCAAAAGCGGGATAAGATTTCACTGCGCGCAAGAAAGGGATACAGATATATTCCGTTTTTGCCCGCACTCATTTTAAGATTCATTTTTGCCTGTTTCACTCTTCCCATATATTTTATATTATTACCACTTTAATACTTATAATGATATTATTTCAAAATTAATTAACAAATTCAATTTTTTAAAATTTTAATTTAAGAATAATATAATTATTTCAAGTTTTAGGTATTTAAATTTAAATTCAATTACTTTACAATCAGACAAGAATCGAAAATTTTTTTTCAGCAGACCATCAATTTTTTTGCATTTTCCTACTCAAGTAGGTACCCAATAAATACCTAATAAGTTTCGTCCTATTATCGATAGGGGAAAGTTGTTAAATCAACCCCTAAATTTAAAAAAATAAAAAAAAATAGGAAAAAATTGTTATTTAAAAACTAATAACGAGACCATAAATTTTATTGCATAAAATTCATTCACTCGATGCCCAATCAATACAAAAAAATTTTGACCCGCAAGTCGATAGGGGAAAGTTGTCATTTTCAACCCTTAATATTTAAAAAATCGAAAAAAAATTACAAAAAACTTTATTAAAATTGCAGTTATCCTTTGACCAGCGATTTTCTTTTTGTTTATTGTTTCTACATACTCCACTAATAAGTAAAAATAATTTCAGAAAAATCGCCGCCCGGAAAACTTGACTTTTTTGCCCGTAAAAATTAAAAAATTGAAAAAAAAGTTAGAAAAAAATTTGTGAAAATTACAATTATCCTTTGACCAGGGATTTTCTTTCATCTGGCCCATTCTTACCCGTCAGAAAAGTTAACTCACTTTTGCTCGCACTGTTATTTTATACCACTTTTTCTTTGAGCCCCACAAATAGCCCATTCTTTTTTTGACTAATTGACAAAATAATGAAAAACTAATTATTGAAATAATTAAAAAACCTTTTAACTTCGATTATTGATTTTTTCCCTCATCTTTTGTACCTGCAAAATTTGTTTCTCATTTTCTAAACTTTCACTTTTTAAAAGTACAGACGATTGTTATCGTTAAATTGTTAAAGGGTTAAGCAAAAATTACATATTAAACAATAATACTTTTGTATTAATAATTCATTATTATTATTAATTATTAAATTAATATAATAATAATAATTTATATTAAATAAATAGATAAATTAAATAGTATTTAGTTAAAACATTAATCAATAATAATAAGAAATTTTTATTGATTTTGATATTTGTATTTCTGTATTTTTTAATATTGCGCAAGAAAATGTTAACTAAATATAAATTTTAAATAATAAATTACAAATGTATAAAATAGTTTATTTATTTCTTTATTGAAAGTAGTAAAAATAAACCAAAATTTTGCTAAATGTATGTACTTTACTTTTCTCGTTATATTAATTATTACTAGTAACAAAGTATATGTATTATTCAATTCTTCAAATAATTTTAGTTGCAAAATAAAAAAAAATTCACTTATTAAGTAATTAACTAATTAATTGTTATTATTTAGGTACTATTTTCAAAAATCTTAATAATATTCTTCGTATGAGAATTCAATTATTTTCCATAGAATTTTCAAAAAATTTCTCGAAAAAATTCAATTTTTCAATAATTTTATTTTCAAAATTTAAAAGAAATTGACAAATTAACTGATTAATTAGTAGGTATTAATTTGAACATTTTTTAAAAAAATTCTTAAAAAAAAAATTCAATTATTGTAAAAAATTGTAAAAAAATTCTTTGGAAGAATTACATTATTTTCGATAGAATTTTAATCAAATTTCTAGAAAAAATTCATGTTTTAATTTTTAAATAATTTCATATTAAAGATTTAAATAAATTTACAAATTAACATAATTTATTAGTATTATTTTCAAAAATTTTAATAAAATTCTTCGAAACGATGCAATAATTATTCTCATCATAATTATAATAAAATGCTTCACAAAATTTCAATAATTTTCAGTAGAATTTTAATCAAATTTCTCGAAAGAATTTAATTTGTCAATAATTTCAGGTTTAAAATTTTTAAAAAATTCAATTATTCACTAATTAATTAAATTAAATTAAAATAATAAATACATATTGAACAACTTATTTATATATTTATTGAGAGTTATAAAATAATAAACAAATAAAATTGCAATTTTTTTTCCTTTTTGCACTATTGGTGATTCGTTATAAATTATTTGTTTATTATTTAAATTATATTATTATTATTATTATTATTTTATTTATTGAAAATTAGAAACAAAATAAATCAAAATATGACATTATTAGCCTTATAAACAAAATAATCCCATAATTACCTTTTTTCTAATATTAATTTATTAATAGCTCAAATTAATTAAAATAAATAATAAAAAATACAATCTCGTTGTACAATAACAAATGACAATTTTAAAACAATGATAGTTTTCAACAATGGTAATTTTCAACAATATAATTTAGTCCCATTCGAGTTTTTTCTTGCAAAAAATTAAATTTTGCCCAAACCAATAAAAGAAGAAAAACTACTCTCGCGAACTTTGATTATTTAATTTTATATTCACAACCAGAAATCAATAATTTATTAATAATTATAGCAGGATATTTCATTTCTAAATTAATAATTAACTGAAATAAAAACTGGTCGCTAGAGTGAAAAAAAAATCTTGAAACCGAACATTGACCTTCGAAGAATGGCGATTTTGTCCGGACGTATCAAGTCGAGTGTATAAAAGCACCGTTTCTCTCTCATCTCTCACTCTCATCGGAGTATTGAAATAAATCGAATAGCTTAGATTTTGTTTCAATAATGACATGTGTTTAAAGGAAGATAAGAATCTTGTATTTAGAAATAATAATGATAGAATAAAAAAGAAAATATTGTAATAATTACATGTATATATAGATATGCGAAAGCAGATATATATAGATAATAATCAATTCCATGAGTTCACGTCAATTAATCGTATGGGTTATATAATCAAAATTTCAATTCACTCAAATAAATTAAATGTGCTGATTATAATTAAAATGCAGGGAGGATGCGAAGCTGCGATATATTCAAATACTGGTTTATGATGTCAGCTGGGAATTAAACTTCGAGGACGAGAGATTATTTATTACTGAAAATTGGTAACGTTTACCTTAGAGTGAATTATTAAATCATAAATTCTATATGCAATTATGGATTATTTGATCGTTGCACATATCATTTCCTATATAAACCTAATGCTTGTCATAGTTTATACACATCGAGTTCCAGTTTTTATTTCTTTTTCTTCTATTCATTTTATTGTTTCTTTTGTAATTCTAGAAAAATTGCTTTAGAATCATAAGGGAAATAATTATATAATATTCCTTGATGGAAAAAAGAAGAATCTACTATTTATTCTAGAAATTTTTTTTCTCAATTTTTCTCGTAGCAATTTTTGTACTTTATATTATTTATTGTACAAAAGAGCATTTTTGTTTTATAACTCTGCTTATAATAACGTTTAAAAATTTTGAACCATTAAATTAAACATTTTTAAACTTTATAATTTATTTTCTGAAATAGGTGACTCAATATTATGCTAATAAAATTTAAATTTGAGAAAGAAATAAATTAATTTTGTTCATTCGATAGTTCAAATATTTATCGACATAAATATTTATTCTTCTTATTATAAGAAAAGAAAAAATTAAGAAATTCTTTTCGCTAATAAATGAAAGATCATTTTTTAATATTGCTTCCTCATAGAGGAAAGATGGTATTATCTTCTAATTTAGTATGTTTTGCATAATTAAACGGTTGAAAATTTTAAATGCACTTAGACGAAATGCGGAAAAACTTTATTACTACAATATATTAAAAAAGAAAATAGAAAAACTAAAAATGTATTGATAGTTTAACAATATAGTAATGAAAATTGAATAGACACTGTATTGTAAAGCTTTATAACAAAGATGCAATAAATAGATACAAAAGATATAAAAATCAAACACAATACAAAAAAGTTGTAAATTTAAAATCGTTTCAAGTATATATTTCTCCCTTATCTATAAATGGACATAAAGAAGGAAATAAAAATTTTAAATCCGATAGTAAAATATGTTCGGCGTGAAAAAAAATGTTTCTTCTCTTTCTTTCTTTTTCTGCTACAATGCATTCACCTAAACTGATGTCACCCCAAACAAAAATTAATATTGTACTATCCCTATCTTTTTTTTTTCTCCTATAAAATTTAATTTCATTATATACTTGAAATTTTTTCCTTTTTTTACTTTTATACTTTTCCCTTCGAACTGAAAAAAGGAACGGAAGTACTATATATATAATAATAAATATCGCATTATATTTGAAATCTCATGTCTCACCTACTGTTTGACATGAATAAAGAGGACATACTTCTCTGTTGGGAGTCATATTTTCACTTCGAGGGACGAAACTTCGCTGGTACATTTATATGCGTATACATAGTGGAATCGAATAAAGAAAATTTTCGGTTTATTATTATTATCCCCCTTAACTTACTTGACCGATGACAGCAGATGCGAAACTTTTCTTTTCAAAGAAGAAGCAGAAGAAAAAAAGAAGGTACGGTTACAAAACCGTGCCTCGGAAATTCCATTGAAAACCGCACACTCTGAATTCGAGTGTACTTTAAATATACTTTGACTAATATTTTTCTTTTTCTTTCTATAAATTTGTGTCTTCTTCGAAACAAACGTGTTCCTTGTTAGGAAATCTTTTCTAAAGGGGGCAAAAAAGTAACAGATTTTTCAGAACTTCCATTGTTTGAGCTACACTAACAACCAGTATTGAGGCAAAATCAGTGAATGTTGTCATACAAATAACCGAATTTCTTTTGGAAATTTTAATTACTTAGAAAGACCATTGTTTGGATTATCATACACCCAGAGACAAATTTTATTTAAACTAAATTTTTGTTACCACTATTCAGGGCTGTTATGATTTAAATCAAAAGACATGTTTCGATTGTAATTTTTTGACAATACTTTTATTAATACAATAGAATTTTAATAGTTTGAAATTTGAATCAAGGGAAATTTGATTAGATTACATGGATTAATTTTGATTAATAAAGTTGAATTTAGTAACAAAATTTTTACATATTAATAAAGGTGAATTTATATACCAATGGGTCCTAATTACGATTGTTCGACACTTAAACAATTGTAAATATTATTCAATAAATGTAGTAATTAAATAAAACAACAGTTATTCGAAGTAATAATATTCAACTACCATTCTCATTGGCAAACCAGTAATCAACCGCAAATTATTGAAAACAATCCAAACTACATTTTAGTGGAACCATTTAAAAATAAATACCAAACAGTTATACATTCAACGGATAATCAATGATAATTTCCAATAGTGAAACCTAATTTTCAAAATAGCTTTTCCAATTCCCAAAATAGCTTTCTTCCTCTTGAACCTAAAGAATAATTACAAGCAACGGTATACACGTTAATTTATAAGAAAAGTCATAATTAAAAAAAAACAGTAATCAACCATATTCTCCACTTCGACAAGAATTAATAATTTCGATTGAAATATCGATTATATTGATGACCTGTTTAAAATATATTTTTTGGGGTTAATTAATAACTTGTTGGAGGAGAAAGGATCTCTAGATATAAACTATATACTCTATATGTATATGGAGAATGAGAAACGGTTTTGCATAACTCGATTGGCCTATCTGAGAATAGATTACATCATAAATGCAGGGTTCATTACTCCCCGGCGTGAGAATTACTGAGCAAGCAGCAACACACTTCGCATTTCACTGCTGACAGCTTGAACCAAAACTGTCATCCACTATTAATGGACCCTATATCCATATCTGTTTTTATTGCCCCCCCCCCCCTCTACGAACGTGTCGCCAACCTTGTCGACTAAGTTATTGAAAACAATAGCATATTTACTGATCAGAAATAAATAACAATTTTTATTTTTAAACTCATGAATCCACATTAGATCCAGATACACAAACATAAATCTTTAATTTTTGTCTCATCCGGATTCGGATTGATTTAACTTGTTTACAATAGTTTAAGTTGTAACATAACTGTAGCATAATTATAAAATTTAAAAATTTTGCATAAACAGAGAATTGTCAAGAAAAACAAAAACCAATTTTTGAATTTTTGTTTCAGAACAATGTCACAGCATCAAGAGATGTCGAACGAGCAGAATGCATGCGAAGGTTCACAACTTGCCTGTCAATGTTCGGCGATAGTGAACGTCGACTCAATCCGTCAACGTGAGAGTAGAACAGAGAGGAATCTGGGCAGCAAGAGAATATCAAAAATACAAGATCTTCCTCGAGGTTTGGAGAATCTGCAAAACATGTTCGAGCCAATTAGACATCGCGACAGTTCGCCCACAATACAGGACAATCAACAAATTCGTCAAGACAATCAAAGAAATGGTGACAATCTCGATGAGACAAGTTTGACATCATCACCAAGACCTATTGAAGTACAAAAAGACATGTTTGCGAGATATGGACGCGCAATTTCCTCCAGTCCACGAAATCTCCCTCGTCATCTTCAGGAGACCTCGAAATTCCCAACAACCGACAACAATCAACACCGTCAATTGTCCAGCAGTCCCGGTTCACTTCTCGACTCCAATTCGTCCGACCTTCACGAAATGTCACTAAACGATTTAGAAAACGATGTCGACGACGAAGATAACGACGATAATGACGGCGACGACGATGACGACAACGATGATCTTAATTCCACAAAGGAGAAAATTAAAATGCAAGTTCTCTATCAGCACCATCACGAACCGAGTGTACACAGTCATCTCCTCTACCAACACGAGCAATCCCCCTGCAATCATGACAACTACAATCGAGTCTCAAGTTCAGATGGTGGCGATTTTCAGCATCAGCGACAACATCGTAAGTTGTCTAATTTCTCCCACCATCCGGGTCACTCTTGCGGAACGACAAGTTACGGTTATGGAACTTCTGGTTCCCTGGTCACGACCCCGAGTCCAAGTCCAATGAACCGGGAGAATATCTACCATCATCCTGAATCGCCGTCAAACAATAGTTTGTCACTACTTGAACCCGGTGTACACCATCGTGGAATGATTCCCGGTAGGGTCAGTTACCACAGTAATAATCATTATCACACGAATTTTGTTGACCACCAACAACAACATCATCACCAACAGCAACAACATCATCATCACCATCATCATGGCACAAGTGGAAATTCCTCGAATTCAAGTTTAATAAATCATGGAAGTTCCCCGACTGTACAGCATCGTCATGTTGTGAATATCAATAGCAGTTTATCGACAACTCCACTCATCAGTCATCATCATAGAAGTTCCTCGGGCAGTCTTACCGGGAATTCGACTACAAATCATCACCACGTGAGTTCCGGCATTTCATGTGAATCTTCATCTTCAAATGCAAACACACGAACTCATAGTCGACTGGACCATATTCACGATCATCATCAGCATCATCATCATAATAGTAATCATCATCATCATCATCACCTACAGGCGGTTCACGCGCTCCACTCAACGTTACCGGACACGAGGCCAAGGGAGAGAACACCCTCGAGTTTGGACCATCATAACAGACGACTCTCTCATGTGCATGCACATGGATATTCGCATTCGCAGAATGATCCCAAGCACTCGACTCTCATGGGAATTAATAGTATTCAGGTGAGTAATGTTAATTGCAAAAAAACTACTACTACTACTATACTACTGCTGCTGCTAATTTAATAATTTATATCCTCTGTTTATTAGTATTCTATACTCTATTTCCCAGTCCAAGAATTTTTAAAAATCAAAAACTATATCAATAGATGTATTTTCGGAAAATTGAAACTAAATGGGACACTAAGGGGCCGTTCAAAAAATACGTAACGCTTCTTGGGGGAGGTAACATTGCGTTACATGGGGGAGGGGGGGGTCCAAATTTCCGAAAAATAGCGTTACGTATTTTTTGAACGGCCCCTAACATAGTCTAATGGGGATGGAAATAAAATCGCATTTTTGCATTCCGTTACCAGTGGCATTAAGATTAGAAGTCACAATTTCATTGGAATATTCTGAAATTTGACCTCTGGAAAATCTGTAAAAGATTTCATAATTCACAATTCTGTATTAAAAAAAACCTGCCTGGTAATATGAAACTGAAGATACCATAACAACGTTTATTCGACGAAAATGTTTTCTTTTGCTAATTGTTTATTTTAATGTCAGTAGGGCTCGAATCAGTGAGAGTATTTAAAAGTACGGACTTTACAGACCAAAAATGAAAAATTACGGACCAATTGCTGACAAAAATATAACCAGTCCGAGTTAAATAAGAGAACATTTTACTGAAAACTATAAATTAAATTTTTCTACGTTTTCCGTGTTCCTAAAGAATATTCTGATTTGAATATTCTAAAAAATTATTACGTACTCAAAAGAATGTTCTATTATATTTATTTACGAATTTCTTTAATTGCAAAATTATTCGAAAACACCAATAACGTCGTTTTTAAATAAATATTTAATCATTATTAGTTTCTAATAGTAATTCACATTTTTAAAAATTTCATATTCAAACCTTTTTGAAATTCAATAACTTTCTCAAAATTACTTTCATAATTTCAATTCATTTATTATTTTCTAAAATTTTGAACTAAAATTCTGCTTAAAATCAATTATTTGAAAAAATTCTTTGAAAATTTGTAATTCTCACTTGTGTACAATTCAATTTTACGAAATTTTTATTATTCAGGAATTCTTTAATTAAATATATATTGGAAAATAAAAACTCCAATTCAATAATTAAACTTTTTAAAAAAAATTAATTCCACAGAATTGTTAGTTAAAATTTGATTAAAATTGTATTAAAAACAATTGAAATTATGCGATGAGTTTCATTATTTTTAAAAATAATTAAAATTTTCCAAGAATTTTATTAAAATATTTGAAAATAATTAAATTTTGGAGAAGAATTTTATTATTTAGAAACATAATTGAAATTTTGACGAGAATTTAAAAAAATTTTTTAAACATAATTGAATTTCTACGAAGAATTTTATTATTTTTGAAAATAATTGAAACAAATTACGGATTTTACGTGTGTTTTTTCCAAAAAACTGACTTTTACAAATTTCAACCAAATTTACGGACCTTTACGGGATTTTCAGACCTAGTTAGAACCCTGGTTAAAAATCATGATTGTTTTTGTTTTAAATTTGATTTTTTTGACTTAGATCACATTTTTTCTGGAGTTTGGTTTTTTAGTAATGATAATAAAAAATTAATTTTATAATAGAAGCAACAAAAAAACAGCTACTTTTATTTTTCTAAAAAAACAATTTAACCGAACGTATTGACAAAATAAATGACTACCTTCTGTTTAATTAACAGTCTTTATATTTAATAAGATATATTAATTTTCTGATAAGTTTTTTATTTTTTGAATTTAAAACTTTAATCGAGAGTACTATTAGAAGGATGAAGCATTTTATTTTCAACAATTTAAACAATTACAATTTGCATTTGAATAAAAATTACATTTTTTTGTCAATAAGCAATATTTGTTAAATATTTGGTTCACAGTAAATCGTGAGGTGTTAAAATAACACCAGAATGGATTAAAATAATCATCACATTAATTCGATCGAAATATTAAAAATATTTAAAAATGTATAAATTTCAAAAATATTTATATTTAATGCCTTGCGGAATATTCAAGGAGAATTTTTTTCTCCTCACATGCTTCGCAAAAAAAATGGGATATATTTCTCTTCATTTTAATTATTAACAGTGATAAAAAGCGTTTCAAGGGATTTTCATAATTCTCATTCAGCGACAAACTGAATTTTCAAAAAGATATTTAATTCATTTTCATTGATTTCAATGGACCATGAATATTTATAACAAAATGAAATTTCACTGCATTTCCCACTCGTTCTTTTAATTTTATAAGCAAATTAAAAAAATTTTCATTTACATCTATAATAATTATATTGACACAATTATTATAAATATTTTAATGAGAGTAGAGTAATTATTATTATCCATAAGTTCTGAACATTAAAATGAATAAAATCTTTTTGCCGCACAATATATAGGGGAGAGGTACGCACGTTGAGACACTAAGATATTATAACCCGTGTAACTGATAATACCAAAAATTTTATTGGCATTTGTCGTATCATTAATACCAAACTTTTTATTCAATAAAAGCGCAATAACTCCTGTTTTTTCGGTAGAACTAGAGCGAACCAATTTTTTAGTTAAAAAAAGTGTTTTTCAGAATTTCTGTTTAGTGTATTTACTGTATTTTTTAGCGGCAGAAAAAATTGCGGATAACATTTACATATCAATTTTGGTTCTACTTTAAAGTTCCGACGAAAATTTAGACATACGTTAACATCTACAAATAATTTCAAAGCTTTAAAAAAATAACGGCAAGGTCTGCACGTTGAGACACACTGTGGTACGCAGGTTAAAACGCTCACGGTGTGAAAATAGTACTGCCATTAAAATTGATTTTGAATCCACAATTTTTAAGCGTTTTACATGTTCTTCACCTGTAAAAATTGCAAATATAAAAATTTCGATTAATTATTTTTGTGCAAAATAAAATTTTATTTTTTGATTATTTTTTTAAGTTAATTTTTATTGTTTAAACTTTTTTTCTTTGAGCTAAGACCATCAAAATAAGTAAATAAACAACAAACAATTAGAATCTGACGTAATTATTCATTTTGTTTCAATTTAAAATAAATTACTATGGGTGTCTCAACGTGCGTACCACTTTTTTTTTGGTCAAAAATAAAATGTTTAAAAAATCATCTATAAATTTTTCAATTTTGTCCAAAAAAAAATAACTTTCTTTGGCAATGTTGTAGCCCTGGACAATACTTTTAAGAAAGCATTTCGAATTTTTCGCTAAATTTTGTTTTTTAAAAATTATAACTGAAAAACAGAACCCGTCTCAACGTGCGTACCTCTCCCCTATGAATTAGTAAAAAGTTTTCCACTGATTGTGAATAATAAAAATTTTGTCTAATTCTTAGTATAGAATTTAAACATTTTTTATTTATTTCTTTAAATTTGAATTAGTAAATTTTACTAATAAATAGTAATTTCTACTAATTTGTTAGTAAAATTCACTAATTCTTTTGAATTTTTTTTAACTTTTAAATTAGTAAATTTTATTAATAAATAGTAATTTATACAAATTTATTAGTAATTCAGATTTAGAGAGTATTTCTAAATATTTCCTAATAGTTTGAGTAAAAACTTAATAAAATGATTAGCAATATTTACTAATTGTTGGTCACTTTTCACTAAAATTTATTAAAAAGATTATAATTATTAAATAAAATAGTAATTTTTTTGCTAAAAATTAGTCAATATTGCTATTAATTTACAATAATAAGAATTTTGACTAATTTTTAAACATTTTTCACCAAAACTTTAATAAAATAAAACATTGCAACTACTAAATAAAATAGTAATATTTTACTAATAAATAATTAGTAAATATTCTTACAAATGTAAATTAGTGGATGATTTTTCACTAACTTTAAAATTTTTTAAATATAGAAAATAAAATTTTTCTTTTCTCTTTCACCAAAATGTAATTAATATTTAAACCACTTTTTAAATTCAAAAATACACTAAAAAAATTTATTTGATTCAAATATTCAAATATACTTGTCTACACAGAGAAAGTACATAATATGTTTGAATCAAACATAATTACTTTTGTTATACAGTCAACCAAAAATTATTTTTGAATTAAACATAATAATTTTGTTTCAACACATAATAAATTTGCTTCAATGAAAATGACGTTTAATTCAATTATAAATAAATATGTTTAATTCAAACATATTTTTTTGGTTGCCTACTTATTTTTAGATTAAAAAAATTTGTTCTCAGTGTATTATCAAATAAATAATATTTATTTGTATCAACAATTCAAGTAAATATCTATTCAATAATAAACAAGTAATCGTTTATTTGAGTCAAATAAATTCCTTTCCATTTTAATAATAAACTTTAAAAAATTGTTTCTATTTATTGTAAAAAAGCAACTTTATAAAAAGGGCAAAAAGAAAAAAAGAAAAATTAAAGAGAAAAAAAGAAAAAACTTGAAACACACCTGATTTACAAGTCAAAAGAATTGTTAAAAGTTTGAAAAAGAATATGCGTGAGTGTTGGTAGTAGTAAATCTTAGAAGGCAAAAAATTGGAAAAGAATGTTTAAGAAACAAGATCTCTTTGGCCCTCAGGTATCGACGCCCTCTAAGAGTAAGTGCCAGTGTCATATGATACAGCAAGGGAGTAGCAGCAAGAAAGAACCGGAGGGTGAGAATATTGGGGGTGGCGAAGTGACACTAAGAACGCATCAGCCCCCAGCCCTACCGCCGAGACCACCCCCACGACCTGCCAGACGATTCGAAACTGTGACATCCGATCCATGTAAGTCATTTTTTTTACATCATTTGATCACGATAATGATTTTCTTCATCTTCTTTTTTATTTCTGCCCCAAACTTCCCATCAGAGGCAAAAGAACATTAAAATCAATTCGTAAATTTTTTCTCTCATCTAAACTCGAAATTTCAATCAGTGAATCATTCCTACGATATAAAATATAGCAAAAATTATCACAAATTATAAATTCTATAAAAATTGTGTACCAAATTATTAACCTCCCCCCACCTCTTTTAAAAAGTTTAGTATCCCCCCTCCTTATAATATTCCATTTGCCTTCCTGAAATATTCCACTGAAATATTAGGAATACTCCATTCACATTCCATCCATATTCGACTGGAATATTATGAATATTTTATTCATATTCCTGAAACTTTCAAATGGAATATTAGAAATTTGTCATTCATATTCCTGAAATATTGCACTGGAATATTATAGAAATATTCCATTGATATTCCTGAAATATTTAACTGCGAAATATTAGGAATTTTCCATTCCTATTTGACTCGAATATTAGGAATATTCCATTCATTTTCGACTCGAATATTAGGAATATTCCATTCATTTTTAACTTGAATATTAGGAATATTCCATTCACGTTCCTGAAGTATTAGATATTTTTCATCCATATTCCTAAAATATCGCACTGGAATATCATAGGAATATTGCATTCAAATTTTAGGAATATTAAAATATTGGAATGTCCGTTTAGAATACTCTCTAAATCACTGATAATCAATCAAATGTGACTGATTCAGTTTTTGACATTCTTTGAGTAAGAATACTCCATAAAAATGTTATGAATATATTCGAATGGAATTTTTGTATGGAAAAAAAGTTACTTAAATTTAAAAAACAAATTACTCAAATTTCACTGATTTAGTTGGTCAGAAGTCAGTCAATGATTTTAAGAATGTAGTGAAAGTTTCACAGATTCAAATTAAGAAAGTAATCATTTTTTGTACCGTGATTAATTATTTATCTATTTTAATATAAATGATATTGTCAAATTTCGATAAAGATCAGTTAAAATTTTCTAATTAGAAAGTAACTGAGAGTTTCAGAAATTTCAACTATTGCAATCTTTAGTAATTTTTTAAGTACCCAATAAATGAAAATAGGTGATAATTACAGTCATTTTTAAAACTGCGATTTTAATTATATTTTATTCATTGAATTCGAAACAATTAATTATTAACTATAATTAACTATATATTAACTATAGGTAATAATTTGAATTCATTAACTTTTTCTGTCCATCACGCTCTGAAGTTGTCTTTTGTTTATACTTTTGTTTTTTGTTATCTTTAGATAGATTGTATAATATATTATTATGCTATAATTATTTAATTATTTATAAAGTTTTGTCAAATTGAAATTATGCAGATTTTTAGTCTTTACTTCTAAACAAGATTAGAAAATTGTTAAACAACTGTGATTAAGAAATAGAAAATTTATTTATTTTGTATTATTTTTGTTTATGAATCACAATTTTTTTTAACAAAATTATTATTTTGTTTCAGGAAAAGAAAAAAAATATTTGCACAATTACTATTTTTAATCTTTATTTTTGGAACAGGATTTTCCACAGGAATTAAGACATTCAAAAATTTTAAATTCAAACCTTTTTGAAATTAAACAAATTATAAAAAATTGTTATAAAACAAGAAGATATCGATTGCTCTGAGTCTTCGACTCGGAGTGATCGATTTCTTCATGTTTTCTATTAATTGAAGATGACCGAGAGATAAAATAATTATTTTATATTATAAGAATATTGTTGTTGTAACTTCATCAAAATTATTTTCATCATTTTAATTCAATTATTATTTTCTAGAATTTTAAATTATTTTTTATGAAAATAATAATTGAATTCCTTAAAAAAAATTATTATTTGTGAAAATAATTAAATTCCTGATGTGAAATTTTTATTATTTATGAAAATAATTAAATGTTTGCATTCAATTTTATTAAATTTTTTTTACACGGAGAAAGAATATATATTAAATTTTGTAAAAGTATTTTACAATTTGGGGAAAAAGTGCGACAAAGCGAAATTTTGATATAAAAACCGCTGCCAAGTTGTACATTTTTATAATTTTGGTGTTCATTTCATGAACACTTTGCTTCCTCATAGAAATAATAATAATTGAAATATAAGAATTAATTTTTATAAAAGAGTTAAAAATCATTAAATCTTGGCCCAAAAAATATGTTTTTATATACTCTATAAGATGTTTATAATAGTTTAATAATTACACATAAGTTAATTAACAAGAATGTTGGAAAAATGTTATTTTCCACAATTTTTGATTTTTCAAATACCAATAATTTGATAATTTCTGACCGAATGAGGTTCAAAAATATGTCAATCGAAGCGTTTTTTAATGCTCTACAAGTTAGTAATGATACTTTTAAAGTTACTTTTATATTTTTCAACAAAATTTTTAAAAAAGTGTTATTTTCGGAAAATTTAGATTTTTAAAACTTTAATATCTCCGGCTAATATAGACGAAAAATGTTCAATGAAGGCTCAAAAGATGCGTCTGAAAAAACTCTAAAAAACTAAAGAAAAACATTTATAAGTGTCCTAACATTTTTTTAAGTTACGTCCAAAAAAAGGTTTTTTACAAAATGAAAAATGCAAAAAAAATATAGTTAAACTTTATGAATCAGGCTGAAAATACTCTCATTTTATGTCCCCCGGGGAGACCTACAATTTAAAAAAAAATTGAGGCCTTTAGCTCTTTCTCGTTCTAAGATATTGAGGCAAATGTAATGTTAGTACACACACACACACATCGGGACAACTTTTTAAAATCCGTTTTTTGGACTTCTGAGATAAAATTACATCAAAATTTTTTTATATTCATTTATAACATTTATACGGGCAATGCAAAATACTAAAATTTAGAAAAACTTACGTGAAATTTAGTATAATTATATCAAATATCAAGAATATTAATTAAATTCTAATAAAACTTTACTATATTTCACATAAGTTTTTTTAAAATTTATTATTTTTTATACTAAAATTTCGCTTTGTCGCACTTTTTCCCCAATTTGTAAAATACTTTTACAAAATTTAATATATATTTTCTCTCCGTGTATAATTAAATTCTTTTTGGGAAATTTTATTAAAATAGTAAATATTGAAAATCATTGAAATTAGAAAAATTTTTGAATATAATTATTGAAATTAGGACACAAATTTTTTTGACATTTATGAAAATAATTGAATTTTGTCGAAGAATTTTGTTATTTATAAAGATAATTGCGATTTTTACGAGAATTTTTTTCAAATTTTGAACATATAGTTGAATTTTATTTTTTTTTTTTAAATAATTAAATTTCTGCAATTATTTGTAATTTCTCCAAAATTTTATTTTTTAGTGTTTTCAACAAAAATTTAAATTAGAAAATTTTAAAATTCTATTATTAAAATAGCTAATTTTGTTTAAATGAAATTTAACTGGAAATCAGTGAAATTTTACTGGTAATCATTAAATTCTAATCGTAGTCAGTAAAATTTTACTATGTAATCAGTAAATTTTGCTTTTGTCAGTAAATTCTACTCGTTCTCAGTGAAGTGTAATTGGTATAGTCAATGAAGTTTTAGTGATTATTACTAAAATTCTACTCGAAGTTAGTGAAATTTTTTAGTATATTAGCAATTAGTAAGTTCTGCCTTTGTTAGTAAAATTTTACTATATTAATCAGTAGATTACTATATCAATTAGTAAATTATCAGCAAATTCTACTCGTATCCAGCAAAATTTTACTGATAATCACTAAATTCTACTAGTACATAATCAGTCAATATTCAACTGTCAATCAGTTATTGTGTAAAATAAAAATAAAGCTTCTGAATATTAAAAACGTAAAAAAAAATTAAATATAACTATAAGTTTACATAAAAAAGTGATTGAGAATCGGTCAAATTTAACTGATAATCGTTAAAATTTGAAATATTGAATTATCGATATAAATTAACATTGTATAGAAACCTTAGAAGCAAAAGTAATTATTATTTGCGTATATAAGGGAATTGTGACCGGAAGTTGAAGAGTATTAGTTTATTGAATATAACAATAGGATGATTTACGGGAGAGTTTCTGAGATACTACTGCTTATTATACTAAGAAGGAGTTTACACTGTAAGCCTTAAATATAAGTCTCCGCGAGCATAAACGGATATGCCTCCATTAGCATATACTCGCGTCTGCGCAAAGTGTTTGCCTGCAGCTGTGTTGTGAAAGAGTTTGCCTTGACCACGTGTTCGCGCAGGCGCAAATATATGCTCTTGGAGGAATATCCGTTTATGCGCGCGGAGGCTTATATTTAAGGCTTACGGTGTAAACTGTCTCTAACTCTCTTCATCGGAATTCATATGTACCTTGAATTTCATCTTTTCCACCGTCGTCACTCCTCTTTTTGATTTACTACCGGACCTAATAACCACTTCAATTAAAAGTCAGACAAATGTGTCTGCTTCAAAAATATATCGACTATTTCATCGATTGGTCAAAGTTCTGACATAAAAAATGATGAGTACTGATCGTTAAAAATTAACGAGGTAACCAAGTGTTCATATACATATACATAACTGTTGGAAATTATAAAATTCCGAAACGTTCAAACAAAGGTAGTTCCATATACGGGTATATAATTATATCTATTTAAATTTGAATCAGTGAAATTTGAATGATTTTCAATGAGTCTTTTCTCTTATGATTTAAACCAGTTAAATATTTATTTAGAATCGGATGTAAATGAATTAATTAAGTCCATTTTTACTGACTGATCAGTTAAAAAATTATCAATTAACAGTAACCGTTAGAAAGTAACCAAAATTTTCAAATTTCGAATTTATACCAAATTTTTAAAATGTTGACTGACTTTTTGCTTTTGAATTAGTAAATTTGACTAATAAAAATAGTAATTTTTACTAATTTATCAATAAATTTTACTAATTCAAAAGCAAA